CACAGGTCTGGAGTCTGGGAAGTCCAAGATCAAAGCACTGGCAGATTCAGTGTCTGGTGAGAACCCACTTCCTGGTTTCTAGATGCCTGTCTTCTTGCTATAACCTCACACAGCAGAGTGGGTGAGGGAGCTCTCTGGGGTCTCTTTCATAAGGGCACTAACCCCATTCATGAGGTCTCTGGCCTTGTGACCTAATCACCTCCAAATATTGAATATGAATATGATTGGGAGGGGACACAAACACATGTTAAATAGGGGAAATCATATATTTGTCATCTTTCTCTTTTCTGTCCCCCTAATCCTTAACCAGTCAAGCAAGACCATCTCCAAAGCTTCTCCCTGAGATGAGCATTCCCTGACTTAACAGGTATGAGTAGTGGAATAGATGACCAGCACACAGGCAACACTGGTCAGCCAGGAAAAGAGACGTCATGTGCCTGTTTCATGTCCTAAGAACAGGCAAAGGACAGTCATTCATGTACTTCCTCCGTCGTTCAGTCATTTGCTTGTTGAATGCCTCCTGTAAGCCAGGCAGAATTCTAGATCCTGGGGATCCTGTGGGAAAAAGCCAAAGCCCTGACCTCCTAGAACTTATATTCTGTTGGGACAGTAGGCAGTGCTCTGAAGAGAAATACCGTAAGGAGGAAAGTGGTAAGAGTGGTCAAGGGAGGTCTCTAAGGAGGTGGCATTTGTGAGGGAACAAGCCATTGATGATCTAGGGGAAGAAAGTCACAGGCAGAGGCAAGAAAATGCAGAGACCCAGAAGTCGGAACGAACCTGGCCTGTTCTAGGAACTTTGGGAAGTCCAGCTGACTGGAGCAGAGCTAGTAAGGTGGGGGAGGAGAGAGAGGGAAGCCCCTATAGTGGCAGAAGCCAGATCACAAAGGGCCTGGAGAGAACTGTGGGTTTTACTCTGAATGGGATGGGAAACCACAGGGGTGATTTAAGCAAGGGGTGTCATCAACTGCTTTGTGTTCTTCAGTGATCACTTTGGTGGAGAATAGACAACAGGGACAGGAGTGGAAGCAGGAAACGTTGTATGAGGCTAGTATAATAATTTCAGAATTTAAAGAAGGTGCTGAGAGTCCCATCCATCCTTCACCCCTATTCCCCACATGTTAACATCTTTGAAAATTACAGTACACATGTCAAAAATCAGGAAATTTTGATACAACACTGTTCTTTAATCCGCAGACGTTAGTCACATTTCTCCGGTTATCACACTAATATCCTTTTTATGGTTCAGAATCCAGCCCACGACTACACCCCGCGTTTGGTGATAACGTCTCCTTAGTTCTCTTAACCTGGAACAGTTCTTCAGTCTTTCTGTGCTTTCATGACCTGGACATTCTTTTTTTAAAGATTTTTTTTTTTGATGTGGACCATTTTTAAAGTCTTTATTGAATATGTTACAATATCGCTTCTGTTTTATGTTTTGGTTTTTTTGGCCCCGGGGGCATGTGGGATCTTAGCTCCCTGACCAGGGATCGAACCCTTGCCCCCTGCATTGGAAGGAGAAGTCTCAACCACTGGACCGCCTGGGAAGTCCCAACCTTGACATTTTTGAGTACTAGCCTGACTGTCCTTCCCCCGTAGAAAGTCTCTCCATTTGAGTTTGTCTGATGCTTCCTTATGGTTAAATTTTTATAAGAATAAAACAAAAGTGACGATATGCCTTCTCAGTGCATCATATCAGAAGGCGCGTGATACTGATTTGTCCTCTTACTGGTGATGCTAACTTTGATCGCTTGGTTAAGATGGTGTCTTCCAGGTTTCTCCATTGTAATCACCCTTTGTAATACATCAGTATGTTGTGAGGAAATACTTTGAAACGTTGAAACTATGTAAATATTCCGTTTCTTATCATATATCTGACAAACTAACTAGAGTACTATATTTGTATGCAAATCTTTTCATATTTGGCCTTATTACCATTTTTCGTAGTTAATTCTGTCAATTCTTCCCCTAACCCCCTTCAGTGAGGTTGTACCACTTATTTGTAATATGGCTAGGTTCACTTGTTTCTGTTCATATTCCATTTTGGGTTCTCCTTCCCCCTCCCCCTCAGCAACACACACACACACACACACACACACACACACACACACACTCCTAGTTTTTATTTTTTACTTGTTTTTGAGTATGTGAAATATTAACATGATTCCAAAAGTCAAAACCAAACCAAAAAAACACAATAAAAAGTGTCTCTCCTTCATCGCTTCTCCATTCCCATTCCCCAGCCTCGCCCACACACCTGCTGTAGTTAACAAATCTCAGTAATTTCTCATCTACCCTTTTTTCTTAGATGAGAGGTAGCATAATGTAGATATTCTTTTGCGCTTTGCCTTTTTCCCTTTACGGTATATCCTGGAAATCATGTCATAGCCATCCAGCAGGTCTTCTCCATTCTTTTTCATAGCTGCATAGTACTCTGTGAATGTACCATAGTTTATTCGCCCACTCTTATATGAGCATTTAAGTTGTTCCCAATGTTTTGCTATTTCAAACCATGCTGAGATGAATAGAGTGTGTATTCTGGTGTATTTGATGGGAGCAGGGACAGTATCTTCAAGATAAATTCCTGGAAGTGAGAGGGCTGGATTGAGAGCTAAGTGCATACGTAGTTTTGTTGGATATGGCCTTCCCCATGTTACTGGTTTGCATTCTCATCGACAATGTATGAGAGTGCTTTTTTCCCCCAGAGTCTTTACAACAAAATGTGTGTCATACTTTTTAATTTTCTAGGCAAGAATTTTAACTGTGGCTCATACAAGGATAGTAGCAGTGGAGATGGTGAGAAGTGCTTAGATTCTAGATACATTTTGAGGAAAAAACCAATTCAGAGTTTATAGTGGGTTGCTTTGGAGGCTAATGAAACAGTTTTCCGACCAGGGTTCTCTCTAATTCTGTTTAAGTATTAGGCATCAATATTAACAGTCTAAACTAATAACTTCTTTTCACTTGTCTGACATTTTTGAAGCTTTGGGTGACTCTCACCTTCCTCTTGGACCAGCCTTATTATAATATTCTAGTAATTCTGTGGCATTGCAGTAGGTAATGGTACCGCTCTAACAAATAACTTTCAACATTTCAGTGGCTTAATGCAAAGGCTTTTTCCTCATGCATGTTACAATCCAGTGCAAATGCTCCTGTTCTTTTCCATGTGGTGATTCAGGGTCCCAGGCTCCTTCTAGAATCTCTCTGTGTCTTGGCATCTTGGAGTCCTCCAGGAGGAAGTATAAAGAGAAAGTGGAAAAGGAACGTCTTAACTGCCTCGGCCTGGGAGGGATGCATATGACTTCCACGTACTTTCTGGGTTCCCTTGCTGAGAACTGGTCACATGCCCCCTAGTTGCAAGAGGGGCCAGTTAATGTGGCCCCTGTAGGAAGCAACTTTCCAGGGAGCGCTGTATATACAAGAAGAGGGAACATAAATTTCAGTAAACAATTAGCTGACTCTGCCACAGATATTTAACAAAGTGAGTCATTCTAGTACTCTGTGGGAATAAACATTTTGCACAATGGAATGCGTATCCTGAAGCATTACATTCTCAGATACTGAAGGAAGGTTAAGGGGCGGGGGATGGGTACGTGAAGTTTAATAACAGGGAGAGAAGATGAGTTATACAGAAAGAGAAAATATTTAGCTTTGAAAGGGTAAGTAAGCCTAACAGAGGAGTTCCAAATAACGAGATTTGTGGATGAAAAAGCATTTTTTGTGTCTTCATTCATCTGCTCTTTCGTTCATTCAACAGGTACCACCAGAGCCTGTTTGCTGCTGGCCCTGTGCCTGTTTTGGGGTGGGAGTCAGGGAGGGAAGAGGAGATGGGAGCTGCAGGGGGTGGTCAGCACAGGTGCACTGGGGAAAGTGGTGTGTATTCTTACAGGGACAGGAATATATACAAGCAGAATGTCGTGCAGGTATAGGGAGAAGCTATTAAGCATAATCCAGGATAGTGGGGTTTTTTTTCCTTTTGATCTTGAAAAAATATCTTCTGAGACATCATATGAGAGATACTTTCCTAAAAGCTTTTAAAGTGCAGCACTTCATTAGAACAAATTGATGATCTAAAGAAGAAAAATGTCGGATTTCAACAAATAAGAAGCAACTTGTATGTTCTTTTCAGAATATAATATTTTTCAATAAAAATGAGTAAAAATTTCTCATATTCTTAAGTATTCATAAGCTTTGTGCTCATCTTATACATAAAAAGTTACTATTTTTCTCAGTACACACGAAGTTTGATTTATGATGGGACAGCCAGGGAAGAAAATCTGTCATAATATTTTATAGCCAAACCACTGGAGTGATGCTAATAACCACCTGTACTGCACACCACAGTTTACAGAGTGGTCCCAGGTAATTGGTCCCGTCTTGCTCACCGTAACGCTGTGAGGTAGGTAGTGGTTAGGCTGATATTATCCTCAGTGGTATCATCGTATTACCATCATCCCCAGTTTACAGCTGAAGAAACTGACACTTGAGGATGTAAGTAATTTTCCCAGAATCTATAAATTTAAATTCCCAGAGAGAGAGAATAAATTTTAAATTCTGATATTGTTGCCTATCAACACCTGTATTCAAGAATAAAATAAATCTAACTGAGCTTTTTTAAAGCCCCGTTTACTGCTCACCTGCTGTCGGGATGTGGGGTAGACGGGGCTTAAAAACTATGGTCAATATTTCCAAACAGTGCGGTATTTTCTGTTCTTAGAACTATGTCTATTTTTTGAAGGTCAATTAATTGCCTTTTTCATTCCCCTTTGGTCTTTACAGTAATTGATTTTATGGTACATTAAATTTTGGGGAAAAGTGCATAAAGGGTGGGACTTTTATTCTTGGAGCCCATTTTTTTCTCTTTGGGGACTTATTTGTTCTTTCAACAAAAGTTTGTTGTGTGCCAGGAACTGCGCTAGATCCGAACTCCTCTGCTCTCACAAGTTATTGGTGAATAATGTTGTCACTTTGTGACTAATGGCCAGCTGTGTCTGTTCTCTCAGGTGGGGTGACTGCTCTCTGTTGGGACCCCGTCCAGCGGGTGTTGTTCTCGGGGAGCTCCGACCACTCTGTCATCATGTGGGACATCGGTGGGAGAAAAGGAACAGCCATCGAGCTCCAAGGACATAGGTAAGGCTGCTGGTGCTTTTATTTTTTTATTTATCATTTATTTTAAAAATTTGTTTATTTATTTATTTATTTTTGCGGTACGCGGGCCTTTCACTGCTGTGGCCTCTCCCGTTGTTTAGCACAGGCTCCAGACGCGCAGGCTCAGCGGCCATGGCTCACGCGCCCAGCCGCTCCGCGGCATGTGGGATCTTCCTGGACCGGGGCACGAACCTGTGTCCCCTGCATCGGCAGGCGGACTCTCAACCACTGTGCCACCAGGGAAGCCCCAAATTTATTTATTTTTTATTTTTGGCTGCACTGTGGGGCGTGTCCCCCCACCAGGGGGGGATCTTAGTCCCCCCACCAGGGATCGAACCCGTGCCTTTGGCAGTGAAAGCACTGAGTCCTAACCACTGGACCACCAGGGAATTCCCTGCTGGTGCTTTTATGAAGAACTCTGGGAAAAGATTCCCAGCTGAAAGCTGGAACAAAGGCATGCGGGCCGGTCTTTGTGGCAGGAGCCTAGCCTGGGGATAATGTGACAGGAACGCAAATAATGGCCACTTTGATTTATATCTGTACATAAGTATGTTTATTTATTTATACCCCATTTTAATCCACAGAGGATTTGAGAGTGCTTACAAAAACCACAAAATAAAATAATGGCAGCAAAGAAATAAAAGTAAAAAAGAGAACCAGGGAAGACTAGAAGAGTAAAAATTTGAGAGTGAGAGAAAAAAGAGCTTCAGAATATAAGCTATGAAGGCCTACAGAATTTCTATAATTGAGTTCAAATGTGGTTTCAAGATTGCTGGCAGCTTAAGGAAAAGGTATCCTCGCCCAGTACATGTTGTACTTCCCCAGATGTTTACTGAGTTACTCGCCTGATTAGTATCAGACTCTTCTTCCTTAAGGAGTGTATTTCAGGAGACTGAGGGGAAGAGCAGAGAAAGTTTGTGCCTCCTTGGAGCAGTTCTCAAACTTTGTTGTCCGCAAAGAATCACTGAGAAATCTGTTAAGTAGATTCCTGGGCCCTGTCCTCTGAGATTCTCCCACTCGTCTGGAGCTGCGAGCATCTGTGTCGTAACAAGTCTCCCAAGTAGCTCTGCCAGTGACCCTTGGACCACACTCTGATTTGTCCCACGTGTGCTGCCCGAGGTCCCCGGAGGCAAAGCCTGATCGTGTTGCCAAAAAGAATTTTCAATCTGCTTTAGAACTCTGAAGCTAATCTGAATTGTCTTTAACTCTTAAAGTTTTCAACCTGATCTTAACTATGACTCTAATATATCAACTCCCATGAACTGACTGGTTTTAAGTGGCATTAGCTCTGCCTGTAGATCTGCCTGGAAACACGAGTTGCAAAAACTTCTCCTAAGAAGTTAAATTTACAGTTTGGAATTATTAGATATGAGCTAATTCAATTTTAGAGGGCCCATGCACAAATACTTATATTTTGTGTTAGAGTTTAATTTTAGAGACGTAGCTACTAAGTCCTTCATTCCCACATGAGAGAACAGATCCGTTGCCCAGGGCTATACTTGGCTTGTGGGACCACTCAGACCTCAGTATCAGCTCATGAAAGGAATCACTCCCTTATATTTCTCTCCATGACAAGGGGACACATATCGAGATCACGTAGGAGTTGACATCATCCATGTAAGTGAAGAAAAAGAAAAGCAAAATACAGCCCTGTTTCCTAATACTTGGTTACCAGCTACTCTACCAAGTAATTCCTGCTATTCAGGCTCCCTCCGAGAAATCAAATACAGGCTTTGAATGAAGATCAGCAGTATTTCTTGGACTCATTCAGATAGCTCATAACTAGTTTTATTTCTACACAGTGGTTCACAAAGGCTGCAAGCAGGGCGAGTGTCAGTACTCACTGCCAGCATCACTGGGTGCTGCATGTCCTTAGGCAAAACGTTGTTCTGGGAGACTTGCCTCTACAGTTGGATAAGAAAGGAAAAGCTATAACGTGGAGACAGAGTCTCTCAGCTCCAGAAAAATGAAGCCTAAACTAATAGGTCTTCCAGTTTCTGAGACATACAGGCTTGACCTTTTAGAAGATGAAACGAACCATACTTGGAGTCCATCCTGATAGGATCGCACCCTGGAGCCTGGTGTGGTGGACAGGCTGGTGAGATCGGGAGCTACCGGTCAGAACTGCCCTGAACAGGAAGAACAGCAGAAGGCCTTGCCTGGTGCTTTATTTATTGATAATTCAAGCTTAGTAATAAGGTGGAGTCTATGAGGGGCTCCTTGACACCAGGTCTTAGTCTGAGAGGGGTTGCCCTTGGTGTCACAGAACTAGGAGAAGTAAACTTCCCCAGCATCGTTGGTGTCACGCTGTGAGAGTGGGTTTGAGTGTCCGAGGTGGGGATAGGGAAGCATTGGAGCTGCTGACAGATGGAGGAAGACGGGGTTCACAAAGAAGGTGCAGGAAGGAAGGGCAAGGGCATCAGGCAGGATAAGGCCCACGTTCACAGCAGCCATTCCTCTGCCCTGAAAATTGGCCACTGGATTGGTGTTTGGTGATTCCTGTATTTGTTTTTCGTTTTTTGTTTTTTTCCAAATTATCAGCAATCTTTTCTTGTTTCTTTTTTTCTTTTTTTAATTTTTATTGGAGTATAGTTGCTTTACGATGTTGTGCTAGTTTCTGTTGTACAGCAAAATGAATCAGCTATACGTATACATATATCCCTTCTTTTTTGGATTTCCTTCCCGTTTAAGTTACCGCAGAACACTGAATAGAGTCCTGTGTGCTGTACAGTAGGTTCTCATTAGTTATCTATTTTATACATAGTATCAATAGTGTATGTATGTCAATCCCAATCTCCCAATTCACCCCGTCCTTGTATTTGAGTAGCGCCTAATACTTTGTCAAAGAGCTTTCAGAACACACAGACACCTCAGTTTAATCTTACAATAACCCTATGAAAGAGAGAGGTCAGATATCATTTTTTCCGTGAGAATATTGGGCTTCCATCCTCAAAGACTCCAGCTGGTAGCTTAGGTCTCCCAGACCTCAGTTCAGTCCAGCAGAGAAAGCTTCTCAGAAACTTCTTTGTATCCAGCGCTGTGCTAGGCTCTGGGGAAACAAAAATGAACGTTGAATAACATGGTCCCCACCATGCCCCATGGTGTTTTCTTTCTTTTCTACTTTAGAGGCCAAAGACTTTCTGCTTGGGGCCTCAGGCTGCCCCTTGCTCTCCTACAATTCCTCATTTTCCCACCTTCCCCCAGGATGACTGTTGGTAGCCAGAGTTCCAAATCAGGGGCCCAATCGTTGAGCTTGGGCACCGGGAAGAGCAGACTGGACCAGAGATTCCCCACCCCTCAGGGTGGGAAGACTGCCTTCCCCTCTTCTGGAAACGTCCAGCCATAGTGTGGAGGGACAGCTCCCTGTGGCTTCTGTCCCGGGTTCTGAGCTTTCACACCATCCTTCACTGGCAGAAATACAACATTAATGTAGCTAGTTTGACTTGATGTGTAAAAATCCCATCAAAGCAGAGAGAGCTTTAGCACAAGTAAGTGATTGATGACAGCAAAAATGTTTCCAAGTCCAAGGAAAAAAAGCTGAGAAAGTATACCTCTATAGTACAATATTATCTGCATTTGAAGCATTTTGGTATTTTTATTCCCTGCAGCAAGTAGAACATGATTACATGCCAGCTCTGGAGAAAGAAAGGCAAAGAAAAGGTTCCAGTTTCAGGGGCCAGTTATGTTTTTCAAGAATCAGTGACCAGTTAGATGGATATTATTGAAGCATAAACCTGGACATTAATTGTCCCATGCCCACCTTTTCAAATCTAATCATGGGACTTAGACCTTTTAGATTCTTTTTTATTCTGATAGGTATAGGATAATACCTATCATTTCATGACGAACTTTTCTTTCATGGCCATATTTTTTCTTTCTAATAGTGTTTTCTTAGGACTCTAAGGCTTTCTGGCAATTTAATTTAATGGTAGCTTGATTTAAAGCAGAGGTAAAGGTCTGCGTGGTCCCTTGTAATGGATCCCTCCGCCAAGACTGGGATCAGCAGGCTGCATGAGGCTCAGTCACAGCCGTGACCCTGGGCCCACGTGGCCTGTGTCTTTGCCTCCTCTTTCCACAGCCCCAGCTCTGGGTTTCTCTGTTCCTCCTCTTACCATGGGTAAGACTTTTGTTATAAGCATCTTCGAATTCTTTTGGTAAAGAAATAGGCTATTCATAAATAAATAAACATTGGGAGAATTTATGCTTTTCTCTTATATCACAGTTATGAAAGGAAGTAAAATTCTTGCATTCAGCTTCTTCTGGGTTTGGGGGAGAGGGAACAAGGATAAATATGTATGAAAGCTTTCTCTCCTTCCGAATCTGAGATTAGGAGCGTTTCTCATTGTCACACTAGAGAATCATTAGGGGTGATGGGAAGAGATGTCTTTTCTGTTTTTAACTATTTAGCTAACTAAAGACATAATAGGTCAAAGTATTAGCAGCTAAAGTTCTTTACAGAGGGTAGCATCTCGTCAAAGAGAGAGGGGTTGTATAGTGTGGTGACTAATAATAGCCTTTGAGTCAGGCCAGGCTGTATATGAGGCAGCCCTTCTGCTGAGGGCTCTGTAGGCTTGGGCAAGGCACCTCATCTCTGATCCTCAGTTTCCTCATCTCTAAAATAAGGACAATATTGGAAAGAAAAGCCCTCAAAGGTTGTCAAAAATCATAAATAATACAATGCATGTAAAATAATCAGCACACGAATAAGGGGTAATTAGTGGCAATTGTTAACGTTATTCTTGTTAATAAAAATGATAATAATTCAAAAATCAAGCTTTCAGATAAGATTACTGTTTTTCCCTGATTGTAGCATTTCCAATGGAAATATTGCCACGTACACCTACTCCCTCTATACCTAATATATTCAGCAGATGTTCATTGAGCTCCGTCTACAGACCAGACTTTGTATTGGGCTCTTAGGACCCAAAGGTGACTAAGAAAACAGTCCCTGCCTCTATGGAGCTGTGCTAGACGTATGAAAA